GGTAATTATATTTATCAAATTCACTGAATCATAAAAAAGATTCTACAGATTGTACTCTTTTAAATCTGCTTCGTTATTTTTACGACGAAAATTCATCAAGTTGAAAAATTCTTACGATTATAACAAAATTATTACGAAATATATACAACTCATAAAAATAATTTTTGATAGTAAAAATAAATATTATTAATACTATCTATTAATTTAATGTTGATTGAAATCTGACGCTTCAGTTTAGAAACTTTGCTAAAAGAAACAAACTGCCTGGTAGGAACGCAGCCAACGCCGAAGCTCGGGCAGAAACGGGATGCGTTTGCCGGGCAAATGCCCGCGAGGCGGCGCCGCAACAGCGTAAACAGAATCGTTAACGCGGGCGGCCGCTCTCGCAGACACCAGAACGCGGTCGCCGCCACACGAGGCCAGGTGACGGACGTGTCTAGCGCTTGCCTTACCTCTCTCCTCCCCGCCGCCGCCATTCGCCTTCCTCGTCGTTCCTGAGCGAAACCGTCTCCTCCCAACCCATCGTTCTCACCAGCGTCTCAACTCTTCGCACAACCCCCTGTCCCCCCCGCCATTTAGAGCTCCGCCATCATCATCGTCATCACCGATATCTTCCCCCCAGCTTCATCTCCTCCTCCCCATATCTTCATCTCTTCTGCCACAATCGCCACCACTGCTGTCGTTCCGCCATCACCACCTCCTCCGCCCCCAGCGCCCTCTCCTCTGCCGCCATTTCACCTTTTGACACTCAAAAGTACTGTGGAAATTATGATGCTGTATTGTTGTCACTACATGAAGACATAAAAGAAGTCATCTCTGTCGACTTAATATATTTATTTAGAGAACCGGCTTTTAACGGCTTTACCGTCATCATCACTCTCGCTGTACGTGGCAAAAGTGGGGAAACTGTGTTCACTTAACGGTATCCCGAATTCTGTTCACCACAGTTGATGCGCAACCATCGCTATTGCCGTCAACTTACAATCCCATTTCAGTGGTACCTGTGGGACTGACGTAGCGTTGCACGAGTACATTCTAAACATCATCCGGCAGTCAACAACGAATACTGTCACATCTATCCACCGTTTCTAACTTCTTCGGATTTTTCCTCTTCCTGTTCTTCTCCTATTGACACCACCGTTTCTGCTCTCATCTATTTCACCGTTTCCGCCTCGACGGCCGCGATCAAGTCCAACTCCACTACAGTCACTAACTTCTTGGTGTTGAGAGCGTCAACTTCCGCGTCGGTTAAACTCCGGCGCCAGTTCGCAGAGCTACTAACGGTCGAGAGAGCTGTCTTTAATTTTCTCTTCTGTTCCCACGATATCGTGGTGATTTCTTAGGTATCAACACTGGAATTCAAGTTCATTATATCATCAGTGTCCTTTTCAACCTCGCGTTATTTTTCCTTGTATCATTTTCAGATATTTTGATTTTATTGCGTTTCTTCCAGCTTATCATTGAATTGTTCCCTCAAGTGACCAGCTAAACTGCCACCTAAACAGCAAATACGTTTAGTAAATGAATATTAATACAATGTTATGGGCAAACCTTTCATTAATCATACTCCCTGTTCTTGTAGTAAATTTTTGAAGTGCTTAGTCTGGTTCGATTAATACCAGTAACTGTTCGTTATATTTATTTTATCTCCGGTGATGTGCCTTTGTAACATCATGCACATACAATCATTCCCGGAAGTAAACAAAAGCTTCATCCAAACGTGTCATTGAATATTATTATAATTGTTAGCCAATATAATCTTCCAGCGTCAACAGATCTTCAGAATAACTTCCTAAAATCTTTCAATTTATGCGTATTGATTTCCCTCTGTTGTATCAACAACTAAATTAATAGAATAAAAAATAATGCGTGTATCTGTTACCCTTATATTTTTTATTTAGAAAGACGAGGCAAAACTTAGCGCAACATTTTTTTTTCTTGAAAATAACGACACTTTCAGATTTCTACTTAAAAACTGCGTGTTCAAATTATTGTGATTTCCCCATTAAAGCGCAGCAATTGTTACTACAGCCTCATCAAAATCGATTTTTTTAGATAAACAGACGGCGTTGTAATTAATTGTTCTCCTTCAAGTTTTATTTTTTTCTCTTCTTTTGTGTTCTCTGATTACCATGAAACGTTTTTTAAATAACCGACCCTCGCAATCAAGGCCAGTAGACAAAGGTGATTCAAATAATAGTAAGCCCCTGTTACCACATATTCGCTTAACACGAAATTCGCCGTACAGTAAACAAAATTTGAGTCCCGAAAAATAAACATAACAATTCGGATATACACAATAATGGATTAAAGCGTATTTTTTATAACACGAACACCTTTTATATATATTATATATATACACATATTAGAATTCGTGCTAACGAAAGTTTATTGCAACAAAAATAATAATGATGACAATAAATAATTAAACGTCAGTAGGTTGAAAAACGTGTTTTGCGGATTCAATAAAACCCACTGAATAGAAATGGAACACTTTGTGAAATATTGAACATCTGTATATACAACACTTAAAATTGATTAGCAAAATAATGAAGTTTACACATTGAAATTGTAATCTCATAATTTGGCTGCGCATTTAATACGACCAACCTTTTAAGTTTTGAAACTGAAATCATCCGAGCATTATAAGCCTCTCGAGAATGCTTGCACTGTTTTGAATCAAAGCACTGGTAATAAAAGTACAATACATTCCTCGTTTGTGATCTATTTGGACTTGATTTCCAAATAAATATATTTCTCTCTCTTCATATGAGATCAATGTTGCCAAGCATGCCTCATGGTGTCTTTTTCTTATTTTCTGAATTCATGAAATCTAAACCATGACCGTCAATAATACTAATTTAAATAAATGTGTACTTCGCATTTTTTAATGCAGTGACGTTGCAAAATTGCTTATCACGAAAGGAAATTTTACTATTGAAATATTTTCAAAATCTTGATTGTGTATTTCTGTCGAAATGTTCTGATACCTGTAACATTTGCTCTATCAACAGGGTCCAACTATTGAAGTGACGGAAATATTCGTAGTGGATTATTTTATCACGCGTTCCGAGGAATTTTAAGTGAGAGAAAGTTAGACGAAAACATTCAATACACTTTCCATGTCATGGGTTTTTAAGACCTTTTCGACGACAACTTCCTTATTTGAAATTTCAATTAAATTAATTAAAAAGAAAACTCCTACTGATGTATCAAAAACAACTCACTGATTAAGAGAAACGCTAGAAGTTTATTATTATTATTATTATTATTATTATTATTATTATTATTATTATTATTATTATTACACTTTTGAATAATTTTTATATTAATGTCATAATTAATGACAAAACTCGTCTCCCTTACTTTTTGTTAGCGTACATGACGAATCAATATCTTACGTTTTGATCAATTACTTCGGAATGCTTAGTACATGCTGCAATTTATTTTAGTAGTATTTGTTTATTGCGCTCAATGAAATACAGACTCTGATAAATATTTGATAACTATGCATTGTTCTCCTCCGCCCTTAATTTACATGCTTTAAAACTTTTAAAAATGGTAGGGAGGACCGAGAGTCGTATGTTTTCTTTCCTATAATTTCATTAAAGAGAAATGAAAATAATGGAATCAGGTGAACGATGTTGCGAATAACAAAATCGAACAAAAATAATTGTTTGCTTCGTCGATAAGCATTGACTTCAATATTGACACTAAAATATATTACGTTTATCAAAATTTCCAGTACACTATCTATATTCTAAATAATCACAAATTTAATAAAATATCTCAAAAGTATTAATAAGATGATTTAAACCCAGCATTAATGTATATATTTCATAGGTTACTTATACAATCCAGATAAAATTATACATGGAACATGATTTGATAATACGTTTTATTTTATAAAATGTTCTATAGTACGTTGTTGTTCTTTATCTGCATTTACAGTTATTAGAGGAAGATTTGGAAAAAAAGCCATTCGTCTTCGATTCCCAGTCAGGATCATTAATACTTTTTTAACAAATTTTAAATGGAAAATTATTTAGATGCCACATTTTAAAATTCTTATCCACTTAGCCATGGATTTTTGTAGTGTCCGTATAGTCATGGATGTGAAAATTTTTGTGTAATGTGAAAAGCTGACCGCATGTTATGTGACACTTCATAAATTTCCCGTACTATTAACATAGCAAGTCGTAATCAAACAGTTGACCGTAACATAAACTCTCCAGCCATTCAAGTAGTTAAGCATGAATGTAAACGTTTGTATGAGCAAGCGCATGAGCGTCAACAAACAAGCGCGGCGCGAAGAGGTGCTGAGTGCGTGCGTTGTGTTGCAGCCGGAGGGCGGCCGCCGGCGCGGGCAGTGAGCGGGCGGGCGGGCAATGAGCGCCGGCCCGGGACCGCCGCGAGGCCGCGCGCCCCCGCTCCCGCCCCCGCCTCTCCCACCCACTCGTCACCTGCCCCGCCGCCACCGCCTCGCCGTCCTCTGTCCATTCCGCGCCCGCGCGCCGGCCCCGCCGCCCCCGCTCGGCGCTTTCCTGGCTCCGCTTGTGCTTCTCGGCGCGGTCGCGCCGGCGTGGGCGGGCCCGGGGCACCGCGGCGGCTTCGGGAGTCCGCGGAGTCGCGCGAGGCACGGGCGACCGCGGCGCGTGTGCGCGCCGTCTCCAACCCTTTCCTCAACGCGCTCGACGACCTGGCCCCCGGCGCCGCCGCCCTCCGCCCCCCCGCCCCGCAGCCACACACCCGCTCGCGCGCTGCGCGTCGATCGCTTGGACTTCCCGCCTCGCTCTCTTCATGAGCTATTCCGTCCCGACGCTACTCTCTCGCTCCTCCTGCTCCGTCCGCCGCCGCCGCCACCGCCCCCCGCCGCGCCCAACTATCTCTCTCTCTCCTATCTTACTCTCTCTCTTCTACCCTATATCTCTATCTCTCTCTTGCCGTCGACGCTGTCGCCGCCCTTGAGCTCTGGTCAACTGACGCTATGGGCTACTTCCGCCTGCCGCGGGGCGCTGGCCGATCGGCAGTGCATGCTCATCTCGGGCGCCATGACGTTGGCCCTAGAGCAGGTAAGGTCTCCTAACGTTTTTTGCATAATTTATTATAGGTCTTGCGATTATTCTTTTAAGTACCTAGGTATATCATTTTAATTCCATTTCAAGTCAGGAGTCCCTAACAGTTCATTAATGTGTGATATTAATATTTATGTGCTATTTGACATTGGCAAAAGTTTACACATGCATATAATATTCACAATACTTCACAAATAGTGATCAAATATTGCGACGGTTGAATGAAAATACGCCCCATTGCAAAGTAAAAAGAAAAAAAATAATAATATCTGTACTGTCTGAAGGATTTTTATGAAAAATTCTGATTTATATTTTTCTTTCATTGCCAGCGAATTATCGAATATTCTATCGACTTTAATACCACGACATTAACGACACGGTATTAAAAGAAATTAAATGTCGGAACACTTCAATTAATTGGCGGCTGTAAAATGGCGTCTACGCCAACGGTACCACCAATCTTTCATCATCAAAGTGGCGAGCTGTCCTCTTTAGCAGTGTCGTCTCGGAACGAGGGCGAAAGAACAGCAGCGATGTCTTCCCTCGCGAAGGCCGAGAGGATTTGCGGGCGTCGCGTGGTCGCCCGCGACACGGGAGCGGAGCAAGCAGGCTTCGCGTGTGAGGCCGTCGAAGGTGCCGATCGTGCCCCCGACCCCGCCCCGACCCCGCC